CTGTTTGCGCTCGAGTACGAGCGCGGTGGCGCCACGGGCTACGGCAGCGGCGAGGCGATCCTCTACCGCGCGCGCGCCAAGGCGTCCAGGGCGGCCTAGCAGGGTAGGCCAGGCCTGGCCAGGTCTGGCAGGCAGACGCGCGAGCTCGCCATCCGCGGGGGCCCATATCACTTAGCTGCCATCCTGACGATGATCGACTCGGCCACCGTCGTCCATGTGGCCCCCGTCTGTGGCCCCGTCTGTGGCCGTGGCCGTGGGCGAAAGGAGAGCCAACAAAGGCAGGTTGAGAAAGCCGGCGGCGGGGGCGGCGAAGTGGGAGCACGAGACGAGTCGGGTCGGAGGGCCAAGTGGGTCGGAAGCAGGGACAATTCGGAGTCGGTGCCGCTGCGCTGCTTGCTGGCCGGCGTCTCTGCACGTCATTGAGATCTGCTGAGGCTAGGGGGACTCTCGGGCCGACTCCGACGACGGACGGCGGCGCGGCGATGGCCATCGATCTGGCAGCCAGAGGGCAGCCGGCCATGCCGTGCCGTGCTGTGCCGTACCGTGCCATGCCATGCCGCGCCCATGCCGCGCTGGCGCTGGCGCTGGCTGTATGTGCCGTGCGCTTTTGTTGCGCCCGCCCTGCTGCTGGCCTGCCGAAACACTGACCACTTGGCCTCCCCACGCGTACGTGCGGCCGTTCGGGCGTGTTCCGAATGGGGGCCTAGCCGGGATGTCGATATGTACGTTGCCTTGCTTTGGCCGGCGTGGCCCCTCTGTCAAGGAAGGCGGTGGCATGCCGTACACTCTGTATGTACAGGGCCAGCAGCCAGGAGTGCGGCAGGGCGACGGCCGTCCGTAAGCCGTTGCCGCCGCCGCTGCCGCTGGCGACCTTCGGTTGGCGCCTCATTGCTCGCCAGCGAGGGCTGCGTTGACCGCTCTGGGGGGGGGGGGGCCTCGTTGCTGGCCCCACGTTGCTGGCCCACGCCCTCTACGCTACCCCACCTCGGCCGCTTCCTCGCTCGCCATCGGTCAGTCTGTATGGCTCTTCACCTTCACCCTCATCGCCGTCTCTTCTCTCCCTCAGGTCCTCGACCACCTCCCCTCTTCTTCTCACCTCTCGCCGGCACACCCCGTCTCGATGCCGCCATGCCGCCCGCCATAGCACACTCGCCGACGTCGTCGAGACCCTCGACCGGCAGCGCCGGCCAAATGACCGCCAGGCGCATCGCCACCGACCTCGTCCGCCTCGTCGACACCGTGCTCCTCAGACAAGCCGGCTATCTCGTCCTCGTGCCCGCCCTCGTCCTCGTCGAGATCGCCCTCTGCGTCGCCACCATCCGCAAGGTCCCCTTCACCGAAATCGACTTCCAGACCTACGTCCAGCAGGCAAACCTCTTCCTCGATGGCCAGACAAACTACGCCTACCTCGACCCTCCCGGCGGCAGCGGGCCCTGCGTCTACCCGGCAGGCCACATCTACCTCTTCTCCGCCTTCTCCTACCTCACCCGCAGCGGCCAGGATCTGCTCCCCGCCCAGGCCGTCTTTGGCGCCTTCATGATCCTCACCTTCTTTGCCATCGCCGCCCTCTACCGCGCCGCCGCCGCGCCCCCGCTCCTTCTCATCCCGCTCGTCCTGACAAAGCGCATCCACTCCGTCTTCCTCCTGCGCATGTTCAACGACCCGCTCGCCCTTTTCCTCGCCTACGCATCCTTTGTCGTCGCACAGCGAAACGCCTGGAGGTCTGCCTCGCTCGTCTTCAGCCTCGCCCTCAGCATAAAGATGAACGTCCTCCTCTTCCTCCCCGCCTTTGCCGCCGCTCTCTTCCTCTTTGCCGGCTTCGTCGGCCTGCTTCAGGGCCTCGCCCTCATCCTCGCCGCCCAGGTCGCCCTCGCTTGGCCCTTTATCGCCCACGACCCCGCCAGCTACCTCGCCTACGCCTTCAACCTCTCGCGCCAGTTCGAGTACCGCTGGACGGTCAACTGGCGATTCGTCGACGAGGACACCTTCCTCTCCCGCCCCTTCTCGCTCGCCCTACTCGGCGTCCACCTGTCGCTGCTCGTCGGCTTTGGCCTCTTTCGCTGGACCGGCCTGGGCCGCAAGCCCTTTTCCTGGCTCAAGAGGCGGTGGAGCAAGACGGCCGACGACGGGCGCATGTCGCAGGATCAAGGTACGTCTCGTCGTCGTCGCGGTGGCAGTGGCGGTGGCAGTGGCAGTGGTTCGAGATGCAGAGTCGATCGGACCGAAGCCCTGCCATCGTGGACGGGTGGCCGCATGAGGCCGCGGTGCGGAGACTTAGATGGCTCAGCTCACATACCGACGCCCCCTCTCATTGTCCCAACCCGCCATTGTCCCCTTTTGTCCCGGCCCGCCCCCTCTGGCCGCGCGCGTCCGCACGCCTCCCTGCGGTCTCCCGTCTCCCGCAGCCCGCGATCTGCTGCTGTTGCTCTTCACCGCAAATCTCGTCGGCATCGTCTGCTCGAGAAGCCTCCACTACCAGTTCTACTCGTGGTACTTTCACCAGATCCCCTTTTTGCTCTGGCAGGCCAACCTCCCGCTGCCCATCAAGTGAGTACCCGCCAGCTGCCTCGCTCTAGCACCAGCACCCGTCGATCATCGCCACTTTGGCCTCGCTGACGCCGCTCGCCCGCCCGCCGCCCGCTCGGCCGCCCTCTGACCGAACCCAGATTCGTGCTTCCAGCAGCCATCGAGTGGTCCTGGAACGTCTTCCCATCCACCAACGCATCCTCTGGCGTCCTCCTCGCATCCCACCTCATCATGCTCGCCGGTCTCTGGACGTCTCGAAGCTACGGGCCGGACACGCAGCTCTCGATCGCCAGCGATGGACACGACGCCGAGACCAAGGTGCGTCCCGCCACCGTTGCGGGCAACCAGGACGTCGAAGATGACCTCGAGGTCGAGCGCCTCGTCACCGGCAAGCCCCGAGCGCCGACCGCAGAGGTCGACCCAGCGACGAAGACGACTGAGCCCGAGGCACCGGCAGAAGATCTGAGCGAGGACGGCGAAGAGGACGACGACGTCGTCGACGAGGAAGACGCCCTGATCAAGACCTTCCGGAAGCGCATCGCCGTGCGCAAAAAGGTCGTCGGAGCCATCGGACGGGCCATGCCGACGATCCGACGCCTGCTGGTGGTGGCGGCGCTGGCGCTGCTCTTCGTCATACCAGACCCGCACTCTCCGCTGTCAAAGGGGGTCTACGTGGATGAGAACGCGCTCCAGCCGGGCCAGGCCCAGGTCTACTGGGACTACTTCGACGTCACCTACGCCGACATGGTGTCGGAAAAGGTGGATCGCATTGGCCGCTTCGGCGACCGCGCCGCCCGCGCCGAGCTCATCCGCTCCGAGCTGGCCTCGTACGGCCTCCAAGCGCATCTGCAGAACTACAGCTATCCCGCCGTCCTTGTCGCGCCCGCAGGCGAGGATCCCGAGGCGCGCACGGGCACCAACGTCTACGCGCGCTCGCCCTCGCCCCGCATCGACGGGAGGGAGGCCATCATCATCTCGGCCAGCTGGCGATCGAGGTGGCGCGGTCAGAACGACCCTTTCTCCGAGCCGGATGCTGCCGCCCAGGCCGTCGACCGGGGCCTTGCGCCGCGCAGGATCAATGTCCGCGGCATTGCCAGCCTGCTCGTGCTGGCGCGCTACCTCTCGACGCAAAACTTCCTAAGCAAGGACCTGATCTTTGTCGTGAGCGACGGCTACCTCGAAGGCATCAACGCCTGGTCCTCGGCCTACTTTGACGGCCGGCCCGGTGGCGCGATGGAGCAGGGCGACAGAGACACCGCCGCCTTTGCGCCGATACACGACGGCGGGTCGCAGGTATGGAACGCCCTGTCGCTCGACTACCCGTCCGACTCGTTTTCCAAGCTGGCACTGCTCTACGAGGGCATCGATGGCCAGCTGCCCAACATGGACAGCCTCAACACGCTGCTCAAGATCGCCGAGAGGGTGGGCGACGGCGTGCCCGTGTCCTTGTACGGAGAGGTCGAAAGCTTCGAGGCGGCGGGCGCGTCCAAGCAGTCGTGGCTGAAGCCGTTGCTCGATCTGATCGGCATGGGCTGGGTCGAGACGAGGATGTACGAGGACGGCCTCCGCGCCGCGCTGCATCAGATGCGGCATGGTGCCACCGGTCAGACGACGGGCGCCCACGGCGTGTTCCAACGGTGAGTAGCAGCGGTGCAGCGGCGGGCATACCAAGCGTTCGTGCCCCTCTCTGACTTTCATCTTGCGCCTGCCTCGCCTCGCCCCGCCCTTTGTAGGCACCACATCGATGCCTTCACCGTGTTTGCCGTGCCGGCGCGCGGGCCGTACGGCTTCTACCACCTCGGACGCATCGTCGAGTCGTACGTGCGCTCGATGTCGAACCTGCTGGAGCGGCTGCACCACTCGCAGTTCCTCTACCTGCTCGTCTCGTCTCGCCGCTTCGTGCCGATCGGCGTGGCCATCCTGGTGCCGCTGCTGCTGTCGATCTCGATGACGCTGTCCGGCCTGGCGGCGTGGTACCGCGAGGAGGAGCGCAGCTTGGAGAGGAAGAGGGCGTGGAGGTCGCGCGTCGGCCTCGATGCGGCCAGCGTCGAGGGCGTCGACGCCGACGCCGACGTCGACATGGAGGAGCCGTCCGAGTGGCAGACGCGCGGGCGGTGCGCCACGCTGTGGATCAAGCACGGCAAGGCGGCGGGCGGACTCGCCGTCAAGGAGATCGAGGCTGAGGTCGAGCGGCTGCAGCAGACGGGGCGACCTTGGAAGGCTGCAGTTGCGCTCCTCGTCGCTGCCATATCGAGCGGCGCGCTGGTGCTGGCGCAGCTGCGCCGGTCCGACATCGAGCTCGGTGGTCTGGTGAGTGTACGCTGGGCATCGTCTCCGTCGAAAAACCCTGTTGCTCTCACGGCGGTCCTCTGACGGCCGCTATACCGCCTTCCCTCTCACCGTCTCCCTCTGCGCGGTTCATCCAGTCCGGCAACACCCGCATCGCCGTCCTGGCTGCGACTCTCTTCATGCCCGCGCCGCTGGCCGCGCTGGTCAAGTACCGGTCACACTGCGCCGCCGACCAGCTGCGGCCGCTGCTCCGCACCGTCACGCTGCTCTACAGCGGCATGACGATTGCGGTGCTGGCGACGGTTAACGTGTCGCTCGCCACGTTTCTTGCCCTCGTCCTGGTGGTGCTCCACGCCCCGCTGCCCTCTGCGCTCATGGCGTGGGCGCTGTCGTGGGCGCTCAACCCGCTCGTGATCCCGCTGCTGGTCGGCGCCGTCGACGCAGCGGGCCAGGTGACGGCGCCCCTCGAGACGGCCCTCTACGACTGGAGGGTCACGCGCAGCCGGACGGTGGATACGTGGGCCCTCATCTGGTGGCCCGTCGCCGTCATCCGGGCCATCGAGGCCGCGCTGGCGCTCGCCTCGTCGTCGTCGGCGGCGGCGGCGTCGTTGTGAGCCTTGATGCGCTCACCCGGCGCATACCCCCTCTCCCTTCCCTCGTTTGCCCATCGTTCCTCGTCATCATCAACGCATCGCACCTTGTACTTTTACGCTACGACGTGGTGCCGTTGTTTTCCACATCACACACTCTTTCGCTTATTCCCCCTCGGCGCTGCTCGCTGACGCCGTGCAGCGGGGCGCGAGGCGGTGTCGAGGCCGTTGGGCATCGTTGCGGGCTCGTCCCGCGCCCTTGGAGGTCGCATGACGACCAACGACGTTTGGAAGAGACGCCGCCTGCCGATCGTTTCAGGCTCTGATCCAGAGCCGAGGCCTCGACAGGGAGAGGCCGAGACGGCGTCGCGGGACACGATCGATCAGGCCCACTGGGCTGGCTGAGCGGCTGGCTGTGGTCGGGCGGCATCGATGGCAAGGCAAGAAGCACGACTCCCTACATCGTCGATGCGAAGACGGCCGCACCGCACCGCGGCTGGACCCTACACGTCGGCATCGGGGTCGGGGGCCATGCTGAGCTCCATGGCGAGCCGCATCTGCTCCTCCTCTGTCAGGTCCTCGAATTCGTCCTCGATGACGTCGATGGCGCGCACCGGCGGCGCCACTGCGGTCCCACTGCCCGCTCCCGACACCGAGGAGGGCGCGGGTGGTGTTGGAGCGGCGGGTGCGCTCTCTTCGCTCGGTAAGAGGACGTCCGAGGTCGCCACCTCGACGGGACGGAGCGGCGCGTCCGTCTCGCCGTCTCCTCCACCCCCCGTCGTCGTCCCGGCCGCACCGCCATCACCACCGCCACCGGCGGCGGCGGTCCGTCTGCGTTCGACGCGCGACCTCGTCTCGCCGACGCGAAACGGCTGGTGAAACACGTCGCGGAGGCGTTTGGCCTTGAGCTCGCCAAAGCCGGGGCACATGGCGAGTTCCTCGACGGTGGCCGTCGAGATGCGGCGGAGCGATCCAAACGTCGACACGAGAGTGACGACGTCGGTCTTGTTGACGCCGCGCACGCTGGTGAGCACGCTGGCGATCTGGCTCATGTAGTCGTCGTTGACGCGCTCCTTGATCACGTCCGGCGGCTTGTGCTCAAACGACTTGTACGTCTCAATGTAGCGTCCCGCCTCCTCGGCCGACCAGGCCACCATCATCGTGAGGCTGTTGATGAGCGCCACCTTGGTCAGCTCGCGGATCGCCGTCTGGTGGTCGTTGACGTCGCACATGACGAGCAGCACGCGCAGCGTGTACATCTGCTGCAGCTTCTGGATGCGCGTGTGGATGTACTCGGGGTGCAGCCGGTGGTAGCGCAGGCTGAGAAACAGGACGCAGCTCGCCACGCCCACCTGGTAGTCGGGCACAATGTCGCCGTACTCCCATCCAACGTTGCGGATGTGCTGCAGCACCGGGTTGCCCCGCTGGCAGCTGTTGACCAGCACCGTGCTGCCGGCGCCCACGGCCCCGCGGATCAGCGGACGCGGCTTCGGCTGCGTCACGCCGCGGTCCTGGCCGGAACCTGAGCCGGATGGGGCGCTGGTCGTGGCGGCCGATGAAGTGCCCGAGCCGCTCGGAGCGTTGAGGTTGCGAGGCAGGCTCGATGCGGGTTGGAATGACGAGACGGGCCGCAGGGGCGACCCGCCATCGCGGCGGGTCGGGCTAGGACCGCCAGAGGCCATGCTGACGAGGTGAGTGCAGGGTTCGATGAACAAGTGGTGCTGGGTGCGGATGGATGCGTGCGGTCGATGTGCTGGCGTTTGCGACGCTGATGCAGGCGGTGATGAGGGCAGTCGTCGATGCTGGTACAGATGCGGATGTGCTGGATCCCAAGGGGTTGGGATGCGGTATGATACAGTTGGTCGGTCGATCGGTCGGCGACGGCGGTCAGAAGGCGAGGCGGAACGGGGTATACGTCGATGGGAAGCGGGTGCTGGTGGCGACAGAGCGGAGGCTAGCGCAGCATGGTGGACTGTTCGGACAAGGGACGGGTGGGACGCGATCGTCAGCTACCGCACAGATCCACCACGTGGAGGACGAAGCGAGGAACGGGCCATCTGGCCTGGCCGAGCGAGCGAGCCTCTGCCCCTCAGCATTGCAAGAAGTCTTTTGCTGGTCGGCAGCGGCCACGAGGGCCCTACGACAAGGTTGTGAATTGTGATGTGGTTGTTCATCTCGGGGAGGTGGAAAGGAGACGCCGGGCCGCGGGGGTTTGCGGCCCGGGTGCCCGCATCGGCGGCGATCCAGGATCCAGAAGGCGTTCCACGTCCGTGCTCAAGACCACCACGTCTGCTCACCTTGACAAGCGCGGGCCGAGCTCAGCGATGTGGTGGAAGAGCTGTGCAAGCCGGGCGAACGGCCGGAAGTGACTGGGAGGGAGTGGTCGGCTGAGCAAAGCGGTCAAGGTGCGCGCAGGGTTGGTGGGGGTGGCGCTGGTGTCCAGCGTCGCAGAGGTCAAGTAACGAAGGCAGTCACGGTCGGTCGAGGCACCCAGCCTGGCCTCGATGGCTGGCGGCAGTAACTGGGTCGATGGCCGAGCCGGTGATGGATAGCGGTCGGGCTGCAGCGACGAGCAGGAAACAGAGAACAAGGACCGAGTCCTGGAGCAGATGAAGATGTGGTTCGTGATGGCGAATGGCCGTGGTGCCGTCTCCACCCCGAAGAATACCGAGTCGCAGGCGGGAACGTCGGGGCGGGAAGGTGGAGATGGACGATGTTCGGCGAGACCGCGCGGACCTCTGCCAAGTGGAGGATGTGGTGGCAGCAGACGTCATGGCCGGCTACGAGCTGATTGATGCCGGAGCCGAGTCTTGGGGAACTGTATTTCGAGGCTGGCAGCGTCGGCCGAGGCGTGCCACCACGGCGCCTTCGCAGAGGCCGGCGCCACCAGGAAAATTCAGAAGCTCGGCACCGAATCGGCGCCTGACCCGCTTTGAGCGCGCCGCCCGTCAATCCGGAGCCCAGCCTTCGAATTTCGAGGACAGGCAGAGGCCGGGGGCGGGACGACGAGACGGCCAGAAGGGCGAGTGAGTGGGCCGCCAGTCGGGCCAGCCAGGCCAGGCCAGGCCAGGCAGGGCGAGGCCAACCTGCCGCTGGAGTGGGCGGGCGAGCCGTGGCGGGAGGCCGGCCGGCCGGTCAGCGAGCCAGGAGGCACCACCCATCCCCGTCATCGCTCTGCACCACCATCCCCCACACCCAACCCCCTCAACCCCCCCTCAAGGTCACCAACAAGTCAAGATGGGACGAGTTCTGCGAGCTCAGCGTAAGGGTGCCGGCTCGATCTTCGTGTCGCACACCAAGCACAACAAGGCCCCGGCCAAGCTCAGGACCTACGACTACGCCGAGAGGAACGGCTACATCCGCGGCCTTGTTAAGGAGATCATCCACGATGCCGGCCGGTGAGTGTCTCCTTATCCAGTGCGGATTGAGTTGGCGATGCAGGAGGCGGTCGCACAGCTGTCGGCAGCGACGGTGCGGAAGGAAGGCAGGGGATCAACGATCGATCCGGTGAGGCCAAGATACGGACGGCGACGGCCAGGGCCGCGACTGTGCCAGCTGGAAATCCTGTGCTCCGCCTCTTGCTGCTTCGTCGACGGCGGCTACGGAAGCTCGGATCTCAAGCGGCAGAGGCGGAATAGGCCGTGCGAATGCCTCTGGCTAGGCCGGGCATGCCTCCTTCAGATCCGGCATGGCACCCCTTTGGTGCCTTCGGTGGCAGACGACGCTCGGCGCGGTGCCCCGCTGTATTCCTTGACCGCACAGCGTCGCTCGATGCACCAGGTCGTCAAGCTGGGAGGCATGCCATAGGTCCAGCCGGATTGCCAGCCACCTCGTGCCCCATGGCCTCTCGGAGTCGCCAGCTGCCGCGCCTGCCTCGACGGCGCACGAGACGAGACGAGACGAGCGCATCGTCACGACGAATCGGCGCTGACGGTATCCTTCGTCTGCTTTCCCATTTTGCTCGGACATACACAGTGGCGCTCCCCTCGCCCGCGTCGTCTTCCGCGACCCCTACAACTACAAGCTGAAGACTGAGACCTTCGTCGCCACCGAGGGCATGTCGACCGGCCAGTTCATCTACTGCGGCAAGAAGGCCGGCCTCCAGGTCGGCAACGTGCTCCCCATCAGCTCGCTGCCCGAGGGTACCATTGTCTGCAGCGTCGAGGAGAAGTCGGGCGACCGCGGTGTCCTCGCCAAGACCTCGGGCAACTACGCCACCATCATCGGCCACGACCCCGATGGTCTTACCTCGCGCATCCGCCTGCCCTCGGGTGCCAAGAAGACGGTCCCCTCGTCGGTCCGCGCCACCATTGGCATCGTCGCCGGCGGTGGACGTATCGACAAGCCCCTGCTCAAGGCTGGCCGTGCGTTCCACAAGTTCAAGGTCAAGAGGAACTCGTGGCCCCGTACTCGTGGTGTTGCCATGAACCCCGTTGACCACTGCCACGGTGGTGGTAACCACCAGCACATCGGCAAGGCCTCGACCATCTCGCGACAGGCTGTCCCCGGTCAGAAGGTCGGTCTCATTGCCGCCAGGAGGACGGGTCTCATCCGTGGTACCATCAAGGTCAAGGACGCATAAACAGCTTAGGCCGCAGCGGTCTCCGGGTCGTCGTCGTCGGATTGCTGCACACCACGACGAGACGATCCAGCCGAGCTCGCACCGTCCCGCCGGCTCGCGGTGGGCCGGCAGACGTTGTTGTTTGCTGGGCTCACATGCCGGTCCAGCGTTTTCGAGGGGATCGGCGGCGGCCCTGCGGCTGCCGTTGGTCCCCTCTTCTGTATGCATTACTGTCCCTTTTCCTCTTCTCTGGCCTCCCACACAGCAACACACGAAAAGAGGCTCCGGCCTCAGCATGATATGCGACGAAACGCTCGGCCCAGCTAGGGCTGCTGGTCTTCGAGCGTCTGGAGAGAGGGGGCATGTTGGGTGCGGCAGCGGTGGCAGTAAATAGAGTGGTGGCCTTGCTCGAGGATCCCGAGCGTATGTGGCTCGTCACTCGGCGTCCGCATCGATTTTGAGCGCCTCGGGTTTGGGGTCGGTGGAGCGCTCGGCACCATGATCCATTGCTGCTCTAACCACGGCTTTCCAGCCCGGATCATGTTGGCAAAGCCAGGCTGACGCACATGACTCTTGCGGCAGTGTACTGGGACGACAGCGGCGGGAAGCGCCTTGTCGTGGAGAGAAGGCAAAGGCGGCCGGGATGGGGCTTCGTCCGCCCGTCGAAGAGAGGGCCGGCTGCCTGCCAGACAGATGGAAGCCGGCGAGTGCGTTCGGCTCCGAGAATTTGGTATGGTCTGCCTCTGGCTGCCTGCCTGCCCGGGCGCAGCGGGCGAGTGGAGTTGGCGGCTCGCGTCGCATCGGCCAACTCTTCTGGATCTCGGCCGCCGCTTTCCCTCCCTCTCACTTCCTCGTTCTTCGTTGCCTCTCCTACCACGACGGCTTCCATCGGTATCGTACGTGCGCCAGTGTCGCATCCCGCTCGACCTTGCCCTCGCCTGGTCACACACACACGACTCACTCGACCCGCCCGTCGGCCACCGCGTCGCCGGCAGCTGGCCCACGATGCCGTACAAGAGGTCGCTCGACCTCCCCGTCGCGGTCAACGAGTCCATCACCGTCGAGCTCGACCCGCTCCCGCCGCCCGAAGACCTCCAGGTCTTCATCGAGGCCCTGATCGACGAGCGGCCCCCCTCGCGCTACTGGACCCGCCTCGCATCCCAGTGCTGGATCGAGCACCGTCAGCAAGAGGCCGAGCTCATCTGCCAGAAGGGAACCCAGGTCCTCTCCCGCTCCAAGCCCACAGAGGCCATTCCCCTCTACTCGCTCCTCGCCGCCTTTGGCTTCGATCGTGCAAAGGGCGCGCCCAAGCAGATCCTTCAGGACGCCCAGTACCAGAACCTCTCGGCGCAGCAGCCCAAGGACACGTACTACCGCGATGTCATTGCCAGCCTCAACCAGTCGCAGCCCATCGAGCCCTCGCACCATCTCAACCAGCTCACACGCGCCATCCACCAGACCAATACCGGCGACAATGACGGCGCCCTTCGCATCTACGACACCATCCTGCTCAAGCAGCCCCGCCACGCCATCGCCCTCCTCGGCAAGGCCTGCATCCTGCTCCGAAAGCGGCAGTACGCCCCCGCCCTCCGCCTTTACCAGCAGGTCCTCGAGATCAGCCTCATCATCCAGCGCAAGGCCGACAGCGATCCCGAGGAGCAGCAGGGCTGGAAGGGACCCGACGCCCGCGTCGGCATCGGTCTCTGCCTCTGGGGCCTCGGCCACCACGATCCCGCCCGCAAGGCGTGGAAGCGTGCCACGGCCGTCAACCCGAACAACTCGGCCGCCCACCTGCTCCTCGCCCTGTCGTCGATCAACGTCTCGAAGCAGACCTCGGCCCTGATGCCCGGAACCTTCGGCACGGAAATCGAGCGCAGCGAGCACGAGGCCCGTGAGATGGCCTACACCGAGGGCATGGCCTCGCTGCAGCAGTCCTGGAAGCTCGAGAAGCGCAACGCCATGGCAGCCGTGGCCATGTGCGAGTTCTTCATCAACAAGGCGAGCGAGGCGGCCAAGCAGCCGGGTGCGGAAGCCCAGGCGACCGTGGCCAGCAGCTACGCCTCGGCGCTCAAGCTTGGCGAACACGCCATCCAGTACGCCGACTCGCGCGCCGCCGTGGTCCAGGCGTGGCTCTGCTACGCTCGCGCCTCGCACCTCGCCTCGCAGCTGCCCGCCAACAGCACCAACCCGGAGCTAAAGTTGCAGGCGCAGCGCTACTACACCCGGGCCATCGAGGACCTGTCGCGCCAGTCGGGCGGCGGTGCCGGCTCGCAGCAGCTGCCTCCAAGCCTGACGCTTGCTGTCCTCGGCCTGGCTCAGTGCCAGCTGGCCAACCGCGACTTTTTGGCGGCCACCAACACCCTCGACAGCCTCACCAGCCGGCCGGCGTCGTCGGTCGCCGCCTCGCAGATCCTCGAGCTGTCGCTCCTCGCCGCCAGCCTGCGAGCCCATTCGCACCCGGGTGCATCGCCCTCCGAGAGACTCGCCGACGCCGAGCGCGCCAGGGTCATGCTCGACCGCGTGCTTCGCATCATCGAGGCTGCTCAGCACGAGCTGTCGGGCGGCGTCTCTGTCCACGAGTCCGAAGAAATGCCCGAGTCCGGTGCCAACGGTTCCGCCGAGGTCAGCGGGCCGCTCGCCAAGGCGCTCACCGTGCTGCGTGCCGAGGAGCTCAGCAAGTCTGCCCTCGAGGCGATCGCGGCGCTCGGAGACGACCCGCTGACCCACGTCGAGTTTGCCAACCTGCTGCAGACCGAGGACCTGATCCGGGCCACCGCCTCTTACAGCGACGCGCTTCGCCTCGCGAACAAGGCCGGCGACGACGTGTCGTCCGCGCCGCTCAAGGCGAGCCTGCAGACCAACCTAGGGGCCATTCTGTCGCTGCGGGCTTTCGAGGTGCCCGAGAGCGATGTGCATCGGCAGGACGAGCGCACTTGGCTGCTCAGCCGGGGCATCTCTCGCCTCGAGTCGGCCATCGCGGGAGCGTCGACCGCTGCCGTCGATGCGAGCCAGCCCGAGACGCAGCGCGTGCTCGAGGCGGTCAAGGTCGTGTCGAGCTTCAACCTCGGACGCGCCAACGAGGTGTCCGGTGGCCTGGACCAGGCCAAGCAGGCCTACGAGGCGGTGCTGCGCGCCCACCCGGAGTTTGTCGACGCCAAGGTGCGGCTGGCACTGCTGGCTGTCGGCACCGCGCCCGCCCCCGGTCCCGAGGCCGCCGCCAAGATCCGCCAGCAGCGCGACACCGCCAACTCGCTCCTCAAGGAGGCACTGGCATCCGACCCGGGGAACCTCGATACGCGAGCCACGTACGTCTGCTTCCTTGCCGGCGAGCTGCCTGGCAACCCGACGCCCGCCTGGGCCGCCATCAAGGACTTCACGGCGCAGCTGTTTGCCGGACCCGATGCAGGCAAGTCGGTGTTTGGCAGCGCCGCCGCCGCCAAGGCCGCTGCCGACGAGGGTCGTCGGGATCCGCACACGCTCGCCAGCCTCGGCTGGGCGTACTACCAGCTGGCGATCCACGCCCAGCCAGGCCCGGACGTCAAGGCGGAGCGCGCCAAGGGCATGATGCGAGCGGCCGACCTGATGGACAAGGCGCTGGCCGCCGATCCGCGCTGCGCCTTTGCCGCCCAGTGCATGGCCATCCTCCTCGCCGAGGACGCGTTTGGCGAGATCAGCCGAGGCAACACGAGCCACCCGGCGCTGGGCGGCAATGCGACGCCCGACGAGCGCCGCAAGAAGAACGCCGACGAGTCCATCGCCATCCTCTCGAAGCTGCGCGAGGTGCGCGAAGAGGGCAGCGTCCACATCTGCATGGGCCACGCGCTCATGATCAAGGACGAGTTTGAGCGGGCGCTCAAGGCCTACGAGCTGGCGTCGCGCCGGTACTACCAGGGCGCCAACGCCACCGTGCTGCAGTACATGGCGCGCGCCGAGTACGCGCTCGGCATGCAGGCCAAGTCCTACACCAACCTCAAGAACGCCTTCCAGCACCTCGAGAAGGCCAAGGCTATCGTGGCGGCGGAGCGAGGCCGCCAGCACCCCGAATGGATGCAGATGGCCTACAATCAGGCGGTCATGGCGCACAAGAGCCTCCAGCTGCTGTTTGACCTGCCGCGCGAGAAGAAGACGTCGACCGAGATTCGCGAAGCCATCGACGCCGTCGAGACGGTGCAGCGCCTGCTCGTCTCGCCCGCCGGTGCGGCCACCGCCGGCGCCGATGGAGACGCGGCTGCCGCTGCCACGGCCGCTGGGGGCGGCGAGCTGTTCCAGGCCGCGCAGAAGGGCCACCTCTCGTACATCTCTGCCGAGATTGTTGAGCAGCGCGGAAAGTACGGTGAGGGATCGCTGCTGCGCCAAGGCCCCGGCGCGCTGTCCGAGCAGGAGGCGTTTGAGGAAGAGCGAAGGAAGGCCAAGGAGGCCGTGATCCAGGCGCGACGCGAAAAGGAACTGATCCTGGAGCAGGAGCGCATCCGGAGGGAGGAGCAGCTGCGGCAGGAGGCCGAGACGATGGCTGAGAAGCGTCGGCTGGCGCGCGAAGAGGCGCGCAAGATTGAGTACACGCGCGAGCCGACGCCGGAGAAGGAGCCCCGCCGCAAGAGGGCGCCGGCCAACGGCGAGGGCGACGAGGACGAGGAGGGAGGTGGTGGACGGGGCAAGCGCCGGCGCGGCCGGGGAGCCGGGGGCAAGAAGAAGAAGAGCAAGGGTCGCAAGGCGGCCGCCTCGGACGACGACGACGACGACGACAGCAGCAGCGCCGACGACGACGAGGCCCTGTTTGGCGGCGGCGGCGGATCGAGCGACGAATCGAGCGACGCCCAGGAGTCGGAGGATGGCGATGCCGAGATCATTCGCAACGGACTGGCGGCCGGTGTCGGCGAGGGCGACGACGAGGGCGCTGCGACCAGGAGGCGGGGCGGGGAGGGCAAGGGACGACGCAAGAAGGAGGAGCGCAAGAGGAAGCGGGACGGCAAGAAGAGGCGCAAAGACGTCGACGACGATGACGACGCCGACGGGGGCGGCAAGAAGATCAAGAGGCGCAAGAAGCTCGTCAAGCGCGTCCGCGAAGACTCGGACGGCGACGAGGAGCAGGGCGGCCGGGCCGCCGCCGACGACGACGACGACGAGGATGAGGGGGTAGCGGCCGCCAGCAGCGGCCGTCGGAAGTCGGGCGGCGGTGGCAGGGCCAAGAAGTCGAGGGTCGAGAACGACATGATTGACTCGGACGAGGAGATGATGATGCTCGGTGGCATGCCGGGCGACGACGACGAGGGCGGTGCCGGAGAGGCAGGCGAGGCTCAGCAGGGCCAGCAGGACGAGGAGGACGCGGAGGGCGGCGCGGCGGAGGACAAGGGCGGCGACGGACCCAACGACGACGACGAATGAAGGCTGGTGCGCCGCCAGCATCGCTGGCTCTGGTCAACCATGTCCAATGCACCCTACGAAGCGACGTCGTGGCCCGTCTCCGTCGATGGCGCACGGCCACCTCGCGCCCTTGTAGAATGCAACGTTGCTTTGATCCGCTATCTACCGCCTCGTACCCAACCTGTGTCAATCCCAGACCCGCCTCTACCACCTGTTCGGTTGCATGTCACCATCGACTGGGCAAGGGATTGAGTGGGTTGATTGGTAAGCGGTTCGACATTGGGGCGGCCGTTTGACGGGTCGAGCAGGCAACGAGGCTCGTGGGATCCTTGATTTCCTCTGGTTTTTCGACGGCCGTTTGCCTGCTGGCCTTGGCCATTCCGGCTTTCGGCGTTTGGCCGAAAGAAAACTCTCTGGGCTGGGCTGGCTGGTGACTTCTTCTTGAGTCACGCACCTCTCCGGCTCAGCCCAACCCGACCGCGACCGAGCTGTGGGGGGCGGCAAAGCACAGAGGCCCAGGCGCCCCCCCCCCCAACAGGCTGGCTGCCCGACTATCTAGGCAATAGCCTGGCCTGCCATCCCCATCACCGCCTGTGGCAACCGGCTACCTACCACCCTGCCTCCTTCCCGTCGTCGACCATCGCCACCTTCACTGCCACCTCCTGCGTCCATCTACCTGCTACTCCGCCCTCCGCCCGCCGCTTGCCATGTCCATCTCCTACGGCAACGGCACCTCCGCCGACAACGGCAGCGCCGCCGCCGCGCCGTTGCCATCACGACCCCGCGATGCGCCCCTTACCGTCGGCGTCCTGGCGCTCCAGGGCGCCTTCCGCGAGCACGCCAACCACATCAACCGCCTCAACAGCCAGGCTAGCACCAGCACCTCGCGTACCGTCCGCTCCACGCTGGTCCGCACGCCCGAGCAGCTGGCCGACTGCGACGCCCTCATCATCCCCGGCGGCGAGTCGACGGCTATCTCGCTCGCCGCAGAAAGGTCCAACCTGCTCGAGCCGCTGCGAAAGTGGGTCCGCGACGACCGCCCCGTCTGGGGCACCTGTGCCGGCATGATCATGCTCGCCCGTGAGGCCAGCGGCGGCAAAAAGGGCGGACAGCAGCTCCTCGGCGGCGTCGACGTCCGCGTCGGCAGGAACGGCTTCGGCTCCCAGGTCGACTCGTTCGAGACGCCGCTCAGCATCGCCGGCATGGGCGACGAACCCTTCAACGGTGTCTTTATCCGCGCACCCGTCGTCGACGCCCTTCTGCTGCCTTCGGACCTGGAAAAGGTGGGCGTCGACGAGGCGACGCTCGTCAAGCGCGTCGACCTCGACCAGCTGCCCGAGGGCGTGCCGGCGCCCATCACCAATGCCCAGGCTGTGCCCCTGACGCCCAACCAGGAGGCTCCCGATGGCATCGCGGAACCGCCGCTGCCCAAGCCGGTGGCCGGTCAGCCGCTGGATCGCCAGGCGCTGCGCATCGTCGTCGCACCCCCGCTCTACGACGAGCGGGATCCCGCAGCGGCGGCGAGGATCCGGCCGCCGATCGAGATCCTGGCGACGCTGCCGCAGCCCGTGACGAAGCCGAGCAGTCCTGCCAACCGGCCGGTGTCGGCGTCGGTGAGCGCCAAGGACGCGCGGCTAGACGTGCCCGGGCGGCCGGAGCACGACAGCCAGATTGTGGCGCTCAAGCAGGGCAACATCCTCATGACGAGCTTCCACCCGGAGCTGACGCCCGACTCGCGGCTGCACGAGTTCTTTGTGTCCAAGATTGTCCTGGGCGCCCTCGGCGAAGGCGCAAAGTAGTGCGGAGGAGGAGGAGGTGGTGGTGATGGACGAGGACGAGGAGAGGAGGAGAGCGGACGGGGTGTCTGGTCATGGCGATGGGATCCTCGCGACGCCTCTCTGTTGGCTGAGCCTAGCCTCGGAGGGCACGGATGGTCCGCATGTTGGCGAGCAGCACACCCTGCACGCATCACGCTCCTAGACGCTGCAACATAGACCTGGGCTCCCATTTGGCATCCGCGGACGGCTTGGGCCTGCCTTGCCCTTGGTCCTGGCCGCCGCCTCGCCGCCAGCCCGCCCCGCGCTCACATCGCTGGGAGCACCGTCGACGGTATCGACCGTCTTGTGGATGCGCAGTCGTCGTCGTTGCCGCCTCGCAAGGGAACGAAGGGGGGCCAGGAGGAGCGACCAAGATGAGCCGAGGCAGGTTTCCGGCGAAAGGGCCGGCATGAGAGCGTGGGTCCCGGGGTCCAGCCCAGCAGCTCACTACTACTACCTCTGGCTGAGTGGCGGGCGCACGTGAGACGAGGGGTGGATTTTTTCTGCCCGCCCGACCGCCGTTTGCTGGAAAGCCAAATTTTGGGAGCGGCCCACCGGACCCAACCTCCACGCCAGAGAGAGAGGCTGCTGCTGCGAACCCTTTGCGGGCTGGCCGGGACTGGCTACGCTCTGCCTCATCACCACACCAAACCTTGGACCTGCGCTCCGCTCTCCCCTCCTTCCTCTGCTCTCGTCGCTTCCTCTCGCACTCGCACTCGCACGCGCACTCGCTCACGCTCACGCTCGCCCATGATCGACATCGCCGCCACCGCACCGCCACCTTGATCCTATCCCTCCATCGTTGACTCGCCACCACGCGAGCAACCATCTCGAATCCTCCGACCGACCGACCGACAAGCTCACACCCCATCTCCCCGTCGCGCGCCGCACTGCAGTCCAAGTCAGGCCAGGCCAATCCACCGCCGCCGCCACTGTCCTTCCCTTTGCAACTCGCGCACACCATGTCCGGCGAAGCGTCCACATCACGCATCTCGGACCCGTTCCAGCCACAGACAGCAGCGACGACGACGGCGCGCGCACACGACTACAACCAGGCCCCGCGCACCGCACAGCACCCGCATCAGCACCCACACCAGCACCAGCACCAGCATCAGCACCAGCATCAGCAGGCTAGAGCAGGCAGCAGCGGCGGCGGTGGCGGTGGCGGTGGCGGTCCCACGTCCTCGGTCTCTTCGCCCGCAGGCTCGCTGCTACGCCACGTGGACGCCACCAGCAACGCGGCCACCACGCCCAACTCGACAACCACAACCCCCGCACCCGGCACCGGCGGCGGGGGTGGCGGCGGTGAAGGCGGGAGCAGCAGCACGACGACGACGACGACCTCATCCCCGCACCTCGCGCACATCAACCCGCTCACCCACCCGCTCTACACGACCCTCTTCCCGCCCGCCGACCTGCCCATCGCCAACATCTCGCGCATCATGAAGCGCAGCCTGCCCGACAACGCCAAGATCGCAAAGGACGCAAAGGAGTGCGTCCAGGACTGCGTCTCGGAGCTCATCAGCTTCGTCACCAGCGAGGCCAGCGACAAGTGCGCCGCCGAAAAGAGAAAGACGATCAACGGCGACGATATCCTCTACGCCATGCGCGTACTCGGCTTTGACAACTACGAAGAGGTGCTCAAGGTCCACCTCAGCCGGTACAGGATGGTGAGTGGGCAGCGATCCACCCTGCGTGCCGCGGCGATCCTGCATAGCACGGCACGGCACGGCAAGGCATGGCATTGCAGTGGACCGCTTCGTTGGTGACAGGTCCACCTCAGTCGACTCTGTCCGGTCGGTCGGAAGCATGTAGCAGTTTTTCCCCCTCCTGACCGCCGTCTTGTTTCCCACCTCGTCATCTGCGCTCCACCGAATGCAGGCCCAGGAGACGAACCCACGAGCGCGCAAACGAGCGCACAAGGCTTCGTCAAACGCCCCCGGCGCACCGGGCGGCACCAGCGCCGACGCCGAGGCCGAGGCCGACAACGAGGAACCAGAGGACCACGACGGTGCCGCCGCAGCCCCGGCCGGCGCGACATCGAACCTACCCTCGCAGCAGTACGATGCACAGTACAACGACCACCACCACCACCACCAACACCAACAACACCAACATCGTCACCACCACCACCAGGCTGCACGGTCAGGAGCGGGCGTGGAATCATTACCTCGTTGATGCCTGGCCCCCTCCTCTTCCGGGGGCTCGTTCGGGCGCGCCGGGCTCCCTTCTACCTCACGACGCCGCCAACGTCGTCAAAACGCGCCGATGCCGCCCGCCCCGCCCGGCACCAAGACAACACCTACACTACGTACTGCCGCCTGCTGCGGCTGTTGTACCACCAGACCCAGACCCACCCTCTCGGCGCTCGCTCGCCCTCGAGCCAACCGGCCGCTGCGCCGCTCGAGTGGCGCCGTCGAGGCTCTGTAAGCCTCACCTGTACTTGTACCGCCCTGCCCATCCCCGTGCTCATCCAAACGCCAGCGACAGCGACAGCGCCAGCACCACCTCGAGGTGGCCCGACCGACCTCCCGACCTCCCGACCGACCTTTGAAGGCAAATGGAGGCTAGAGGACAGGATCCAACCTCGTCCTCTGCATGGAGCCGGGTTGCTGAGCCCGGCGCCTTTGCTGCTGCCCCTGCCCCTGCCCCTGCCCCTGCTGCTGCTGCTGCTGCTGCTGTAGCGGCAGCTCGGGATCGAGCGTGGGCAGACAGGGCACGCCGACGACGTAGCCCTGGAGCGCCGACACGAAGCGCGCGGCGTACTCGGCGGGCGGGAGGATGGTGACGTTGCCCTTGGCCTCGAGGCCGGACTTGAGCGCCTTTTTCGACGAGCTCTCGAGCTGCTTGGCCAGCGTAAACGCGCCCAGGAAGTCGACGATGCGGCATCGGAACACGGGCC